TCATTTTGATTTTCTCATTTTTTTTTGTATGTAAAATATGAGTTAATATAAAATTCAATATATAAAATATATTATGAATATTTACCTTTGATTTGAAGTTATGACTGATAATATTATTATGAAAATTAATTTTATGTTGAAGTTCTAGCTAATTATTATAATTATAAATTCCAACTTGATTCATATACTTAAAAGAGAAAATATACTATATATATTTTTTGTAATTATCTCACAAACAAGTTTTTTACAGCAATAAATAAAATAATCTTAAACATAAGCTATTATTTTGAACTTTTCAATTTGTACTAAAAATTTTTCTAAAGTTGCCAATACCATTACTTAAAAATTGTTAAAATACTTGTATTCGAAATATTTTAATTTTTTTTTGAAATAAATTCTTTAATCTAATTTCAACTCATAAGAATTATTAGCATTTTTATTTGATTGTTTAATTTTGTATAGTAAAATAAATTAAATAAAATTCTTGAAGAGAAATATATAAGATAAGCTATTAATATGTAAATTTTTAACCAATTGTTTCTTTAGGAATTGTATTTCTTAGTATTTCTTCTTAAAATAATACTAATTTAGAAATTAGGTTAGGAATATTAAATTAAAATATTTAAACGTAAAATTAAATTCAAATATAACTAAAAATTATTTTCAGTTGAATATTCTTATATCCGGTCAAAATTACATAAGTTAGATAATTAATGTAATATTATAATTGAAGTTCAAATAAAAACATTGTTGATAAAGTGAAAAAAATAGTATTCACAAGTTTAAAGAATATCAAATATCAAAAATTTTAAACTAAAGAAATTTATTATATGATTTGAAATTATTAGCATATTTTATTACTTGCCTATATCATTAGATTTTAAGATTCCTATTGCATTAAATTTAATAAGTTCTTGTTCAAATTAAAATATATTAAAACTAATTTCCTTTTTTTAGAATAAAAAAAAATATTGTGTAGAATTAATTAGTATAATCTAATTTGAAATTTTATATTTTAACTACAATTCTTTTTCATTATAATATTTTCAAAACATTTCACTATGAGAAATACTTTCAAAAATAACTTATTTAGATGAAAATTTCTTCTCAAATGTACTTTATTAAAATACTGCTAGTTATTCAGATAATAATATTTAATAGTTATAAATATTTCTTCTAAAACTTAACGAATAAATAATTTTACTGAGTACATTATTAGATTGATATAAAAAATCTTTAGATTCTTATTAATGATATAGGTAGATATTTAAAAGTAAAAAATGATTTTAAAATCAATTAATCATGATTAATCATTTTTCCTAAGATTTGATTTTAATTTTAACTAATCTAATTTATTTTAAATACAGCAAATTTTTTTGATAATTGAAATTCGAAAAGTCCTAAAATTTATTTTTTATATATAAAAAAAATTTCATTATCTTTTTGATTTATTTATCACTTCAAGACGTAGTGATTAGATAAAATCTTATATTCCTTTTCTGGATTCAATTCATAAATATTTTTATTTATTTTGAATCACTTGAAATAATATTCTAATTGTCAATTTATTTTAAGTTTCTCGATTGGAAGAATTAGGTATTAGAAAAAAAAATTTTTTTTTGATTTGTATATTAGCTCTATATATTAATTATATTAGAAAGTATTAATAATAATAAAATTTAGAAAAATTTTCTAAATTTGAATAAGACAAATTCTTTAAACGCACTTTTGATTAAAAAGAATTACCTGTTTTTTTAATAAAAAAATAATAATTTTATCAAATTAATAATTAAGGTTATGCTTGCAATAAATATATATAACGCTCATTCTTTATGAATCGTTTGATTTTTGACTAATTTATAAGATTTTTGTTATTTATTTGAAGAAGTCACTAATTTTATTACATTTTATAATACATTTCTTTAATTTGTTAATTGTTTATGAACAATGAATCTGATTTGTAGTAGTGATATTTATAAATAGTTTATGTAACAATTCCATGAGGTAGGCAACTCAATCAAAAACTACAAGTGCTAAATATTTTCAATATAATCAATACAATCTTAGTACTAGTGGTGAATATTTTGAAATTTTAATTTAGTTAGTTAAAAAAAGTTGACTGGCACTGCCTTTTTATAATTCAACTTGCTGACTTTTTACAAATTTCAGTTTATATTTTTTTTTTTAAAAAATTTAATAATGGTTTTTATTGTTTAATAAAATATTTAGATCCCTATAAATGTGCTTAACCCGTTTAAATTATATGATTAAGTTATTGGTATCAAGGTTCAAGAATTAATTAATATCTCTGCACTGTAATATCACATTTTGAAAATTTTGTATCAATTCACAACAAATGATCTTTGTCTATAATTAAATTATTTTACAGTTTGTAAGTCTTGAAATATCCTTTGGCTTATACTCAATTTAAAAATGTCATTAATTATAATGTATTTTCATAAACTTTAATAATAAAATCTGCCTACAACTCCAGCTAAATCTCCTTTAGAAAATTAAAAAAAAGTAATAATATTATAATTAAAGTTTATAATTAACTTGATAATTAAGAGATACTTTACAGTAACTTGTTTTCTTAATACGCAGTAACTACAAAGTGACTATATAATAAATATATAGTTACTACCTTACTAAGTAGTAGCTTAATCGCAGCCTAATAGGTACTATGCAGTTACTGCATAGTAAGGAAACAAAGTTTCTGTAAAGTAAACTTTATAAAATAAATGCCACTAACTATTTAAAAATAATGAAGAATATCAAAGTTCATTTAATCTATGGCTTAAAGTTTTTAAATATAAATCTTCTTTTATCTTGCAATATTGCGTTATTATCGTATTCGTCCTTTTTAACTTTATTAATTTTTATGTTTTAATTTCGTTATATATTAATTTCCCCTATTTTTTTTATTTTTAATTTATTTATACGTAGTTAGTAATTAGCATCTATAGAATTGAAACGACATTGAGGCAACAATTTGTTTTTTATGCTTCAATATTATTGAATAAAACCTTCTACTTACAATTTACAAACTGCTTATAAATATAAACGAAAAGAACTTAACACAACAATACCGTGATATAATGTGCCGAACAAAATTCTTCAATAAAAATTAGGACTCAATATGGCTACATATGTAAGATGCGAAAAACAATATTTAAAGACTCTGTAAAAAGAGTTTGTTGAGAGGAATGGGTTGAAAAAGAAATGGAGGAATGGCGGAATAAGAAATGATGTTATCTAATTGTTGTTTGAAACAGTAATAAACAAGTTTATTTAATAATTTCGATATACTGCGACGATCAACCAGTTTTCCTTGCTTTGCGTTTCAAGGTAATGTAATTCGTAATTAGGATGTTTCTTTTACAACATTTGTTATTTTATTTGACAATGAATGGTAAGGACAACACGAATGTATAGAATTTGTCTCATCGTAATGTATACATACATGCATAATTTTATGAAGCAAAAAAAAATTTAACCGTATGCATTTTTTCCGACATTTTCTATATTTATGTCCATTGGTAAAAATATATTTAATATATTTAAAATAAAATTCGATTCAAACTTATATGTTCATAAAAAATAATAATATATAAGAATTTTAAGTATTATTAAATTAACGGAAACCGTATGCCACTGCATACAGTACCCAGGGTCTTAATCAAAAATGTGATTTTCAAATTGAATAGTACCCACGGATACTAAATGAGGAACCGGGTACTATTTTAAGGGGGATACAATATACGGGGGATACTGTATATGGAGGTTACAATTACACAACTTTAATAAATAAATATCAAAAAAAAATTAAAATTTACTTTCCTTCTTCAATTCAGCTTCGCAAATATTGAGGAAAACTTAATACTTTTCCTCACTTTATATAAAAATTATGAAAAACGTTCAAGTAATAGGAAAAGTTAATATTGAAGACATGATGCTATGCCCGGGTATTAATCAATTTTCACAAAGTTTAGCTTTGAAAAGTATCCGGGTACTATTTGTGACTAGGTCAACATGGATAGTGAATAGTATCCAGGTATTAATCACGGGGGGTATTATTTTTGGGATACTGTATGCAGTGGCATACGGTACGTAAAATTTTTTGGCGCTGTGTCAAGGTCCAAAGAAAACGAATCAGTTCGTCCGAGGCGCAGCGTTATATATGGAGCTGCGCTCTGATACCGAAACCCGCCTAAAAGTAACTTTGCTACATAAAGCTTAAAGATTTATGCTATAAAAATGACAGAATCGTCTAAACTATATTTGGAAATAAATAAAAACTGAATTTTGGTTAGTATGATCGTCAATCCTTTATTATCTATTGTTCTTCGTCAATTCAAAATAACCATATTTAACGGTTAATTAACGCCCCGTTCCCTACTGAAGGAACTTGTATCGATCCGTCGCACATCAGTGATCAATAGCTTTTTTAGTCATTCATTATATTTTTGCATTGCATCATGAAACTCGGGACTAATTTATTGTGGAATTCCAATTCAGGTCATCTAGTAGATTTCTTACTTTGATTGAGATTATACATTTTTGGAATGATTTTTTTTGTCGATCATTAAACTAATTATGATTGGTCAAAACATTTACTTATTTTTAGGTCGAATAAACACTTTTTACTTTTGTTATCTGCTAGTTCGTTATGTTTCCAATTCTGATCCATTGTGATGCTAAAGTCCGTTGCAGATAATATGCATGAAATTTTCTCGCTAAACTTTATTGATCATTTATAAAGAAAACATTTTTTCGTTATAAAATACATATAAGTTTTCATTGAGGAGTTGTAGTTCCGAATAAATCATAAAAATGTAATTCAACTTTATTAATGCTCCTAAAACAAGCTTTATGACGTGTCACAAAGTCGTGATTTTACAGACCGTTTGAAAGGAATAAAATCGCCATTCCTTCCGACATTTCTTCATTTCTTCGTCCCTTCAATTTCTTGATATAAAAAAAAAAAACCTTTTGTACAAATGTCTATCAAAGACGATGATGGTCAGAAAAGATATCAAATTGCCATCAGTCAAGATGGAAAATATGCTGTCACGTTTGATGCAGGTAAGCGTTATATGGAATAATGACATCCTGCGTTTTTTTTTAAAAATTTTCTTCAATATATATATATTTTTATCGTAATTTAGCAACCCTACAGATCAAAATTTTAAAAAATACCGATCATCGCGAATTCGACACGGAAACAAAGAACGTCGAAAGTTCTGAACCAAATGTTTCCAATGAAATCAATGAAAGTTCTGAAATCAATAAACCTATTGCTCATTTTGAATTACATGAAGATTTATCTATCTATAAATTCTATACGATTGACGGCGATCCTACGTCCAAAACTCCGAGTGATGTCTATGATAGATGGTCGATCGATATATCCAACATAGAAGACGAAAATTTTATTTTTATTGCAGCATCTCGAATAGATAAGAAATTTATGAAAAAAACGGGAGAGTATAAAACACGAGATGAAAAAGTTAAAATGATTGCAAAAAATTACAATGATGGAGATGTTTGTATAGATGTACATTGTTTCCCGAATGATCAAACAGATTGTGAAACCGCTATTTATTGTCTTAAATTAGAAGATGAGAAAATTCAAGAACTTATTAATTATAATAGATTATCGGGAATTTGTAAATTTGTGCCAAAAGAGAGTGACAATGATATAAAATATGTTGATATTTCAAAAAAATTTATTTTATTGAACTATAATGGTATATATAGCTTTGAATATAATAAGGAAAACAAAACTTTTAATTTTGTGGAGAGATTTAATTATCCGAAAATCATCATGAATGAAATTGAGGAAGTGTCACGGGAAGATTCAAAGGATTGCATGAATCTACTCCTTTCACACATTAATAAAAAATATTTTTTGATCGAGGAAAAAAATGGCGACAAAAAAGGCGACGACGAAAAAGTTCTTGAAGGTAAATAAATAACTAATACTTTTTACACATTTTTATTAATTGATATTAACAAATTTATGTTACAGTTTATGATCTAGAAAACATGCAATTGGAAACTAGTGTAAATATCAGTATTGTTGACGATAACGAAGATTACAAAAAAGTTTACTCGATTGATAAGCAAAAATTACAAATTTGTTTTTCTCTAGGACCTCAAACTATTGGGTGAGTTTATCATGTGATTTATTGCTTTTCCATTCTGAAAAGTATAAATTGTTAACGTAACTTTTAATAGGATATTTCTTTTGGAGCATGGATCGGAAATCGCAACTAGAAAATTTGAAGAGATCAACAATATTCAATTGATTGAATTCATCAACAGCGATGAGAAATTACTTTTGATTGGCAGTGATTCTGAAAATGATGATCTAAAGATTATTATCTGGGATATATATGATACTAACAAGGTTGAAAGAATACCATTAGAACTTAGTACTTGCTTAGCTAGTACCTCCGGAAATCTTTTGCAAGTTAATGATGAGGGGAAAGTTACATCAATTCTCAAGATGATTGAGGAGGTCAAAGCAAACAATGAAAATAATGAAAGTAAATCAGAAAATCCTGATTTGAAAATATATGATCCAAAATCTAAAGAACTACCACCATATAAAAATTTTGAAAATCAAACTATATACTTTTATGAAAAATTCGATGGTAATTTCAAGCCAGCAATTGAAGATCCGGAACCATGGGTATCAAATAAATATAAAAAAATTTCGTTTTGTCTTTATTATGATGGTTTAGAATCTTTACAACTTATAGTTGGTATGTCTACTATTCAAATCTGGCATCAATTCCATGAAAGAAAGAAAGAGAAAAATAAAGGAGAACCGTTTCTTGAGTTTATTTGGACGAATGGAATTCCAGATAATCAAAAAAATGAACACCACTACAGATTACATATTGCAAATGTTCGATTTGGTTTGAAATATTTTCGCATGGAGGTTTATTGGTATGAAAAAGAGTCTGATAAAGGTTCAATAAATGAGAAAAAATCCGATGACGGTTCAAAAAATGAGAAAGAGTCTGATGACGGTTCAATAAATGAGAATGATATGTCACAAAAAATGGAAAATAAAAAAAATATAAAAGGAATGATAATCAAAGAAAAAATAATTGAATGGAATGATATCAATGATAACGCAAATGGAATAAGGTACGCATGTGAAGCATTAGAGTCACTTAATATGCGTGCAAAATCTCGTACAAGTTATTTTAAATTACATAAAGTAAGTTGAATGAAGTATTTAAAATTTTTTAATCGAAATTAATTAACAGATTTTCATTTGCAAATAAAAAGTACCATGAAATAGTCAAGTATATTAATAATATAGTCGGGAGATTTACTGAAAAACGACCACGACGATATAGATTACTAGACGTTCGTTATCGTATTATGAAGAATTTAATTCTTGGTGATTGTGATCATTTAATTCACTGCCTCTTATTTGGATTCGGCACAGATCTCTATATACCAAAACGTAAGTTTTGGTATGAGGAACGTAAAAATCTGAAATATATCATAATAGATGAAGACATGAATTTAAGAATAGGTAATATTTATTTGTTTGCAGAAAGTAATAATACAAAGACATTATGAATTTTGTGCATATTAACCAAAGCATACATATTATTTAAATTACGTGGTAGATTAAAAAAAATTTATTTATTTGCAGGGAAAAAGGAAGGTGAAAATCAAAAAACAAATGGTAAGCCCAATTTACTAGAATTACGCACTCTCACAAACTATTTGAAAATTAAAAATAATATATATATTTTTTTATTTATTTACAGATCTGAATGAGGACTATGGAATATATAAAAAGATATGTAATTTTATTGCAGGTCAGAAGGAGGACGTTGAACTTCCAACGACAGACGTGAATTTAGCAATTTTTCATTTTAGAGGTAAACCCAATTTATTAATAAAATACACGCGTTATTTGCAGACAGATTAAAAACAATCTTTTATTTACTTGTAGATCGTAAACCAAATGATACAATTATAATTACATATATTTTAAAATATTATGTATCGTATGCAGAAAATTTTTGTAATTTGTTAAAAATGGTTTCCGACACATTTTATTTATTGAATACATTAAAATATGGTATGATTTCATTTTATAATCAATCTTAATTTGGATAGATTCATTGTGGCATTGATAACGCTTATCCATAATATAGAAGAGTGTATCAGAGTGTTAAAAAATGAATCGAACACATTTGAGAAGGACTCCTTGATTGATTCAGATGCTAGCAAAGATCTATTAGAAAAATTTAAATTAAAATTCACATCACCCGAAGATGACAGGATCACCAAATTTCAACGAAACACTGATTATACATTAATACTTAAAAATATTCTATTATTTATATTTATACCACGATGGTACAATAACAAGGATAGAACTAAATATGAAAATGTTGATGATATTTTTGATCTCCCAGATATCGAAAAAACTATTCAATATCGTTGGCCAAGTGCAAATAGTTACTTTGTATTTCTTTTTGTTCGATTTTTGGTATTCGGAATTTGTTTTATGGTTATTAGTTTAGTATATATTCGTGAAATCTCTCCCGAGGGACTTGAATATTTTTTATTTTTGTTAATTTGTGTATTCTATTATTTGGCAATTTATTTATTTGTCACTGAATTATTGCAACTACATCATCATGGATGGCGCAGATATTTTTTTAAAACAGTATTTAATTGGTTTGATCTATTTTCAATTGTAATTCCTGTGATAATAATGACACTAATGCTTATTTATACATATAAATCTTCTACTGACTTTGGAAGTGTTGAAGCAAAAGACTCAAAAATAATTGTGGGAATATCTTATTCAATTTTAATAATTTGGATTGAAATTGTAAGTTTATTTTCAATTGATTATATTTTATATTCAATTAAAATGTATTAACCCTTGTTTAAAAATTTTTAGATTTTATATTTCCGATTAATACCAAGTAATACAAAATATCAAAATTAAAATAAATCAATCTTACGAGTAATAATTATTAATTTATTTTCCTAAAAAAAATTCTAAATAGAAATTTCGTTTTACATCTATTGTATTGTAAACATCTGCAAAAAAATTTATCCTTTTCTCATATTTTTATTCATCACGCTTTTTGGATTCGCACATACAATGTAAGACCTTTTCTTTAGCCAATTTTTTTTTTATATTTTTCAAAATAAATTACTTATCTTGCAAATTTTGTTTATATGACATTTAGCTTTGTTTTAATAACAAGTCTAGATGATAGTAATTCTACAATAAGTGAAGGTACTACAAATTCATCCGATAATCCATTCTCTACATTTCCTACTACATTAGACGCTGCATACTTTTGGACTAATGGTAATTGGATTCAAAGGGAGCTGTTTAAATCTTGGTCTGTTGAAATATTTACTATAATTACTAGCCTTTTGATTGTAATAATTTTGCAGAATATGCTAATTGCTATTATGGGGTATGTTTAATTTATTATCTTCAAGTGTTCCTAGTTGTAACGCTATTTAGGTGGTTTATTTTAATATTTTTTTGGTTTATTTTAGTAATGTTTATGAAAGTGCTGCGGATAAAAGTAAGCAAGCAGTATTAAAGTATAAAGCAATACAAATATCAGATTATGATAAATTACATCATCGCTTTGATTTTTGGTACCGAGATCCAAAAGTTGTTCCTTCTAAAAAAAGTGTAAGAAAATTTATAAAAGCCAGCCATCAAGATAAATATATATCAGGGTTTGCTACAGATTTAGATTACGATCAATATTCAATTTGGAGATTTGATAATGAGGAGATTGGATAAGTAACACGTATTAAGACTTCGTCACGCAATTACGAATATTTTTTTTTTTATTTTTAAAAAATATATTTACTTCATTTGTAAAATTTAATAAAATAAATATTAATGAACTTACGTCCTTAATTTGACTTTGGAAAGGATTTCTAATAAATAATATTTCGACTTTCAACGTCGTTTTTCTTTTTATTGATTTATTATAATTTCGACGGAACTGTCGAAACATAAGAGTCTTACCGAACAACCTTAGTATTTAATTATAAATATACAGTATTATAATTTTTCTAATGTTAGCCTTTTTAGTTTAATTACTAGATCAAAAAAACGGATCATCTGACTTGAACGATCCGGACTTGTGTCTCTTTTTTTTTTTTTTTTTTTTTTTTTAGCTATTTGACTTTTAGAAACGTGGAAAAGTTTCTTTATATTTTAGGTCGTCGAACTGGAACCTTACAACCTTAATTATTTTGTTTTTGTTTTTTGTTTAAAAAATATTAATACTAACAATTTTTGTTTTAAAAAAAAAAATAAAATAAAATAAAAAACCTAACTTTTACAAACTTACCTTGTAAATGGTCCGGAACCTTGTAATCGAAGTCGAATAAGAGGTAAGTTCTAATGGATAATTTATTATTAATTTTTTTTTTTTATTATTATTTAAAAAAACTAACTTAGACTCAAAAAGGCGTAGAACACTTCTACGCAACATTTTACGCATAATTTCAATTTTTGTACTTGACCTTTTGTAGACCAATCCGAAACATTATGAGGTGGAATAATACGTTATTTGGTTTTATTTTTAAATTTTATAAAAAAAAACTGACGTTTACTAATTTACCTTCGTAGAACGATCCGAATCTTTTGATTTATTTATTATTTTTTAATTTTTATATAAAATTCTAACATTTACTAACTTGCCTTCGTCCAAATCCTTGAAATAGAATTCTATTATAACTTTTGTTTTATTTTTATTCAAAAAATTAACATTAATACATTTGTGAACCGATATAGAACATTGAATTGGAAACTTGGATCGGAGACAAGTCCTAATGAATAACTTTTAGTTATTTTTATTAAAAAAAACTAACATTAATTTATCTTAGTATACTGATCCGGAACCTTGAAATCGAAATCTTGGATCGAGGGTAAGTTCTAATAATAATTTTGCTAGTATTTTTTTTTTATTTAAAAAAAAATTTCACAAAACTTACTCATTATCATTTATACTTTTTTTTTTTAATTAATGATCATGTTTATTTTTGGGATATGCAATATAACCGAAACAATTTTTGCATTTTAATTTTTTTAATTTTGCATTCTAAAATTTTGTTAAAATTTAATTTTTAAAATATTTATTTATTTAAATAAAAACAAACTAAAAATATAATTCTTTACATGATTTGTTCAATAAAATAAATATTAATTAGAATTAATACGTAAGTAAAATTTCCAGCATCGGAAAACAACCTTTCTGATGGTGTGTAGCTGCCAAAAATTTCAAATGGATTCTGGTTTAAATGAATTTTGTCAGCTAGGCATTCTAAAAATAAAGAAACAAGAGTTAGTAAACGTATTTAAATGACAATTAGTTAAAGAGGATATTCCCGGTTAGTGCTCCGAGCCGGTCGAGTCGACCCAGGTTGTTCGACCTGACTCGAATTTTTTCTCAAGTCATTTTTATGACACGAGTCCTAATTTGATAAAACCCGTTGGGTCAGGGTCACATTTTTCCTTGACCCGGGTGACCCAGATGATCAGTGATCTAATTTTTCGCAGTATAAATTATGCGCTAGACTAATTACGTTATGCGATTTGAATTTGTAAACAAATAAAACTATAGACATTACCAATATACCAAAAGTTCTAAAAAACTATTGTTTTGTCAAAGAACTTTTTGAAAAGAAAGTTCTTCCGCCGGAAAATAAATTTTCAAGTACTCATCGTGAAGTTCATTGTCTTAATTGCTCGTATGTATTCTTTTACATTTTTTAAAAAGGAAACATAGTATATTATGTAGGGATTATATATATTTTTTATTTAAAAATATTTTAGAAGTCATAAAACATGGTTTTGGCATCTTAGAACGTCATCACCCTGATAAAAATCCAAAAAATAAAGCACTTAATAAATGAAGGACAAAGCACATTAGATGAATTTTTGAATGTAGAAGGAACGTCAACTGATGTATGTATTGTATTATAAACTATTTTTTTTTTTTATATTTATCTTTATTAATTTATATTTGATATTCTTTAAGTTTACACAAGAAGACTTTTGTAAATTTATTACCAAATGGATAATTACTGATGATCAACCATTCACAATACTTGAAAACAAGTATTTCCAACAAATGATAAAATTTTTAAATTCAAATGCATTAATTTCTTTAGCGGATACATTAAAAAAAATTATATAATGGAAATTTTTGAAAAGGAGCAAATAAAAATGAAGAAATCTTTTCAAGTGAGTTTTAAACATTATATAAAATATGACAGAATATACCTAGAAAAATTTCATTTGCTTTAGATGCATGGACATCTACAAATGGTTATTCTTTTTTAGCAATTACAATATATTGGATTATAAAAGATTGGAAACTTCAAGATAATTTACTTGACTTTATAAATTTTTATGATTCCCATTTTGGTGAAAATCTTTGTGATGTTTTTGTATAAAGTTGTAATGAATTTGGAACTTTATTAAAGGTAAAAAATTTAAAAAAATTTTTTAATATTAAAAATTAATTATTTTTATAATTATATATCAATAAATATATTTTCTTTTTAGATTTTTACAATCACAAGTGATAATGCTAGAAATAATGATACATTTATAAAAGAATTGGAAACTATATGTCAAGATAATAATATTTCTTTTAATGCTATTAATGCTTATTGTCGTTGTATTATTTATATTATATTATAAACATATTTGTATAAGAAATTTTAAATAAAATTAAAGTAGGAGAAATACAAATTAAAGATGATATATTAAGTAATATAGATATAAATTTAAATATTGGAGAAATAATTCTAAAGGTATGTTTTTTATAAATTATTATTTAATTTAATTTTATTATTATATTAATTATTATTTTTAATTAATTAGCTTTGTAAACTTATAGTTAAAATACGATCTTCACTATAATAATAAGATTGTTTTACATATTATGCTGAAGCAGCTGATCTTAAAATCTTAATCTTGTTTAGATGTTAAAACAAAATAGAATTTAACTTATAATATATTTAATAGAACTTTAAAATGAAAGAGGTTAAAATAAATATTAATATTATATGGAGTCTTTGCAATAGAAAGGGAGGAAACTTCAAAAAAATTAAAATTTTAGTTTATAAGCCAAAAATGTTCTAAATACTATAATTTGTTCAGATTTATTATTAACTCATTTTTTATTTTTTTTGAGTTTCCTCCCTTTCTGTTGCAAAAGCCTCATATAATTTTTATTTTATTTTATTTATTTTTAAATATTTATTTAGGTAATAAATATAATTACAAGTTCAAATAAAGAACTTTGAATATTTGAAATTATTGATAATAAATGAAAAAAAGTTGAAGAAATTATTTCTATTTTAAAAGCAAAAATGAATTTAAATTTTTATTTTTTATAATTAATCTTAATTTATTTAATGAATTTTTTATTTATAATAATTTATAGATTTTTATACAAACTACTAAACAAATTTCATTTGTAAAATATCCTATGCTTTTCAATATTATATCAATATACAATTATTTGATAGATAAACTTGTAGCATATTATAAAAAGGCTGATTGTTTTAGTAACATAGTATTTGCTATAAAATCAGGTTTAAAAAAATTAGATATATATTATAAAAAAATTAATAATTTAAATATATATATAGTTGCTACTAGTAAGTTAAATTAAAATTATATATTTTTATTTTAATAAACCAATTATAATAATTAATTAATTTTTATAATACTTGACTCATAGTTAAAGCTTGATTATTATGAAGATAAAAAATGAAAATAAAGTTTTATTTGTTATACTAGAGAAACTGTTCTTAATATTTACAATACAAAAAATATATCTATAGCAAATAATTTAGAAGTTAAAAATATTAATGAGAGTGATATAATTTTAAATCATATTTTTAGTAAAAAATAAATTATTAAACAAAATGTAGTAGAATTATATTTAAATGTACTTTGAGTAATATGAAATCAAGATATTTTCTTTAGTAAAAGGTATATATTTAATGATATATTATAAAATTTATCAAATTTATTAATTTAATTTAATTATATAGTTATATGAAATTGAATATTCACATTTAGCCATAATGGTTAGAGATTATCTTACGATTACAAGTAAAAAATATTAGTTATTTAACATTAACAAATACTTTATTAATAAAGCAATAAGTATCCTAATAAAATGAGTTTTTTCTAGCAGAACTGATATAATATGCATTAAAAGATATAATTTTAAAGCTAATATAATTTGTGATTATATGCGTTTGAAATCCTGATAAAAAAATGTAAAAATATTTAAAAATTAATGTCAATAAAAAAAATAATAAAATAAATAATTTTAAAATACTGTAATATAAATTATATATGATACTTTTTATTTTAGAGTTAATATTACCCTTAAAATTGAATCAGTTTTGGGTTATTTCAGGTTGAACATTAATCAGGTCAAGTTAAATTTGAGACAAATAATAATCAGGTTAAGTCAAATCTCAGGTTCTGTAATTATTAATGAATTCAAATTTGAATATGCTTTAAACTTAACCTGACTTGTCTTTACAGAGCATTGCACTACTTCAGATTTCTATTACTTTAAATCTAGACTAATTTTAAAGAAAAAGTATTAATAAGTATTAATATTACTTTACTGAAGCCTCTGATTTAGCAATTATACTACTGCTAGCATTTGACTTTCATATGATCATAAGATCATGAGCAATCAATGTCCTTTTTATTTTGGTTAGCTAGCTACTATCTAATTACTTCACATTGGC